CGGTGCATTAAACTGGAGTCTGTCATTGATGGCAGGAACAGCAATGACTGCAGAAGCAGTGATAATCACAGTCGAAATAATAGTAAACTTCATAATAGACAAATTAACGAGCATGTTATACACCAAATCAGATGTTTTTATACTTGCACATCAATACAATATTAATGCGAATCATGACACGCAGAATAGTTTAATTCAATTACGAGCATGTCATTAAACTCTAATTAAACTATAAGCTTGATTTGATTCACACAAATTAACATAAACTGCATCATCATGTAGTAGCAACAATTTGTAGAATACTGCTAGAATACTGTATGTTTCAAACAGTTGGTTGGTGCAGTGTTGTAACATGCACTTGGATTCTGACTACAGATCAAATGATCATCGTTTAATTACACCATAATGATGTAAATGGAATGGTTTTGTATTGGTATTGCAATGAATGTGACTGTTTTAGTTTGTAGTAAACACTGGTTGAATACTTGTTACACTGTCATATTAAAGATTGACTTGATGGACATTTTTGACTGATGCAACATCCATCATATCATACAAACGATAGTTTTGAACTGAAATAGTTCATTTCTGGTAGTCATACGTTGTACAATCACCAGATTGATGTACTGCAATGCATAGATTAAACTGTTTTGATGGCAATCAAACTGTACAAACATTTGTATGCTAAAATCAGATACGTTTACGTTCTAGTTCAAGAAACCAAGAATTGCATGTCTTGAGAATGCAACTCTGCATGCCAATCACCAGAAGACTTGTAAAAAAGCTCAATGAAAATGTTGTACAGTAAATGCAATGTAAATCGTCATATGAGATTGGCAGTTTATTATATATTGACACTCGTATTGGGTGATCCATTTTGCGTGAATACGACTGTATAAACCATTTAATCACTTGAAATGCCCAACCAATCGATTGATAATCAAACTCGATCCATGTGATTATAATTTAAATATTTATTTGTTTAGGTAAGTCGTCATCTTCATCTGTTGCTCCATATGCAGATTGTCCACGTCTTGAACTGAGCAGTCTAGATGATCCACTATCTCTTTTGCCAGTACTGCTGATGGATACGCTATTTAATACTCCCATTTCAATTTCATCGTCTCCAACCATATCATTCAAAAACCTTCGAATTTCATCATCGACATTCTTGCCAGTAATTTTTGCATAGTGATCTACTTGCTTCAGCAACTGCTCTTTATGATACTCTTGATACTTCCGAGGATCTCCTTCATAGTTGTCCATAAAATGGAGTTCATGAGGAAGAGCGTGTTTAATTTGTTCTGCCGCATCTTTGATAAACGGTAAAGTGAGATACAAAGCGGCAACACCACCAGTGAATATACACGGGACAAGGAGAGCATATTCGTGAATAGAAAGCCATGCGATTTGACCACACATGCCACCTGCAATAAACCCAAAAAGAATAGGAACATGAACTTTGAGACGCCATAACTCGGCCTTGGTATCGGATCGACACGCTTGACCCAAGATATTTCCTACATCTGTAGCGATTCCTGTCATGTGTGTTGTGCGAACAGCCAACCCAGAGTAAGAAGTCACCATTGCGTTTTGTAATCCGCAAGCAAATGCTGCAGCCCATTCGCCCAATACCAACTCTCGACGCAGAAACATAAACGATGTAAACAACGCAGCAGATTCTATACACAGTGTTATCCCGTAATTGGCACCAAGTTTGAATCGGTTGTCACCCACTATAAATCCAGCCATAAACGATCCAAATGTAAATGATACAATAATAGATACGACCA